TCAGTACATTCATTTAGTTTTCTTCTATTTAAACAATGTAAGACAGCATCCCAAGGACTGTAACAGTATTCAGAACTGCCTCCCTCCTCTGAGGCTATAGATACTGTTAGGCCCTTTGAAGGTAAAGTCCAAAGTCTGAGTTCTCCCTCCATGCCTGTATTAAAAGGTAACAAAAGTGGCATCAGAGGCCCACTGAAAGAGGATGTTGCAGTAGAAGGGCAGGAGACAGGAGAAGCCTAGATACAGATGTCCTATGGCTTTTCCCCACACACATCCCACCAGGTTTGGTCATAACAAGCCATAACAACCCCTCACTGGGGCTTACATGCTCATACTGGCAGATAACATATGTTACAGTGTCCCAAAAGTCACTTAACCCACAGTGAGCTAGTGTGTCATCCAGACCAGGTTCTTGGATGCCTTTCTCTGCAGTTTGTAGCAGCAGGAAGCAGTGGACAAACTGCCTGTCAAAGAAGCTTGTACCAATGTTTTTCTGACTAGGAAATCCCTGATCAACTTTCAAAAGGGTTCCAGGGTTTTAGAAAATTAATGATAGAATGGCAAGTATTTGTGTGTTTATTTATACATTGCAAATGTTGTGCCCATTATTTTAAATCATGTTCAGTGGAATTGCTCAATGCGGCAAAGGACTTAACAGAAAAGAAAAACTTTCTGGGATAAAGGATAAATGAGGTTTTCCATTTTTCCATGTAGTTCCTTTATCCATGGTTACTTCTACTTTGCTTTTAACATGAAATTTTTTCATGTGTTTTGTGGTGTTAAATTTTATATTCTGAACCACTTGGAGAGCTTCAACCAACAGGCAGTAAAGAAATGCAATAAATAAGTAAATTGAGAATCTGCCCAGAAAGAAGCAGCTTTCATCCCTTCATTTCTCAGGAACTACCTTTTCTTTGCATTTTATCTGCAAGGGTCCCAAATATGGTGTTTCTGTTAGAGGGAAATAACGAAACGAGAGAAAGAAGGGAAGATATATACACTTTTTATTGTAACCCACTGGCCTATTTAATACTGGGAAACTGTTGTCTACTCCTACCTTATGATTCTAAAAGACTATCAAGAAGTAGAAAATTCAGATGTTTCTTCTTTTAATTTGTGATATATTTTAATACTAGTTAGCCAGATTTTTCTGTTGTGTCAGCTGGTTTCCTACCTAAAAACATGAGTATTGAAACATACAAGTGGGTCCCAACCAGGAATTATCTTCTGGAGGGGAGGTCCCTTGTAGTACAGGCTTCCGCTGCTAGGTGAGTGTTCTGGGACCCCTCTGCATCAGTGTCCTCAGCTGGATTGTTGTGAGAGGCTGTGTTCAGCTTTGGTGGGGGAGGGTTTGCGCACGTGCACTCATTCTGAGAAACTCTCCCAACATGTTTGCCTATTTCGTGATGGCTGATTTACACGAGTGCAGCAGTTTTTGACCAAAAACAGCATGACCCTTGTGTCCCACCCTCCCTATTCACCCGATTTCACCCCATGCAGCCTTTTTTGTTTCCCTGGATGAAAAAAAGTCCTTAAAGGGAAATGTGTTGCTGATGTGGAAGAGGTGAAACAAAAAGTGGTGGAAGCAATAAAAGGCATGAAAATCAGTGAGTTCAAAACCTGTTTTAAGCAATGGGAAAAAGTCTCAATAGGTGTCTTGCATCAAATGGAGAGTACTTGGAAGGTGACTGAAGTTCGAACATGTAAGAATAAATACACTTTTTAAATAAATAAATTCCTGGGGGTTTTTGGGAACCCGCTTGTATTTATCTTGGCCCATGCTAATTTTTTTCTATATGATCGTCATTGCCTAACAATCTTTGGTTGATACATTTTCATCCAGTAGTGTCAAACCAGAAAGACCTGAGTGAGCTGTCCCAAGCAAAACTTTTATTATATATTGGGCAATGTATATATTTGACACAATCACTTAGACGGAAACCTTTGGGAGGAGAGTTTCCGGGCAGGCATTCCCTTTGCAGCTGCCCACTGATGTTCCAGAGGCCTCCTCCTCTTTGGGAACAGTTTGGAGCATATCAGAGTCCAAGTGTTTCCCAAACAAAACAATCAGTATGTACCTTGAATAGGAGTTATAGCACAGATTATATTCTATTGATCGTGTGTGTGTGTGTAAAATCCACTTCAACACACAGAAACTGTCATCACCTAGGTCAGCTGTTTCCAGTTTGTAATAATTCTGATAAAAGGTTATAGATGTATCTTGGATCAGTTAACTCATTCAGAAGTTTACACACATGGGACAGATGAGACAAGAAATGTCAAACATGGGGGACCAATCCAGATAATTCTGGGTAAACATGATCATAATAAAGTGAAATTGAACAAGAAGCATAGTTAATATGACAGTTAAATACTTTGGCATGGTTTTAGACAAAATGAAAACCCTCAAGAGGTTCTGGCAGCTCCTGATGGCCTCTTCCTGCTTTAAAAAAATGAATGTAGTAGTGCTTCCATGTGTGAAGCTGGCCAACACTGTAACTTCCTTCGGAACATCCTGTGTTTAATCCTTTTATGGTACAAAGCATTTCACTCTGGATTTCTCAGGAATGATGAGCAGGGAAAAGGAGGCAACCTGCAGAAAGTCCACTGCATATTTATTTTTAAATAAGTCCCACTAATTACAGTGTGATTTATTCCCAAGTGTGCATAGGTTTGCACCCTAAATCACATTGGTTTCTGTGGTTTCGAGGAAAGCATAGCTCCTAAATATATATGATTGTTGAAAACTCTGCTGAATAAATAAACTTAAATACACTGTAAGTCAGTATAGTGTAGTGGTTAAGAGTGCTGGACTGGGCTCAGGAAGTGTGGTTTCTAGTCCCCACTCAACCATGAAGCCCACTGGGTGATTTTGGGCCAGTCACTGCCTCTCAGCCCAACAGGGTTGTCATTCTGAGAACAAAGTGTAAGCCACCTTGGGTTCTTTGCAGGAAGAAGAAAGATGCAATATAAATGTGATGCAATGCAATTGTAATAATCTCTTGCTCTCTCCACAAGAAAAAAAAGTCATTTTGACCCTCTTGCTTCTTAATTGAATTGACTTTTCAGATGTGCTTTACAGAAATGCCAGGGGACCATGTAGAGATTACAACAATTCACTAATGTTCTATTTCTGAATACAAAAGGGAATGTCTGCCAATAAAGAATCCCCTGGCTACATGTAGGTGGAGGAAAGAGGCTCCCTGCTTAGGTCATCTATTGCTGTTAAAATCATTTCCTCCCAAACCATTTTTTCTAGGGGAAAGTTTCAAGAGATTAAAATGTAAGCACTATATAGGTCCAGAGCTAAATCATGTATTCATGTAAACTAGACAAAGGATTTCACAAAGTGCCCAAATGTAAAGTTTGTGTAATCCATTTTCCCCTCTGGAATGTAACTATTGTGTGGGAAGGAAGAGCTCAAGATTCCCTACCTGTCTGTGCATGATTGGTCATGTTTTATAATGTGTATTATGGGATAATCATCCCAACATTCTTCTGTCTTCTAGACTGAGTGGCAGTTCACACACAGCGCTAGGCAATACCATGAACTTACCTTTCTTGCCTTGTGCCCTCTATTCACACATTTGTGAGGTAACTACTTCTGAGTAGTTTCCCTATGCTGCCATCTTCCCTCCAAATGGTGGCACATTTTCTATCAGCTCTCATGGCTGGGAATCAATTCCTGTGTGTGCTGTTCCTGCTGCCCCACCTGCTTCTCCCCGTTGGCTTGCACAACCCTTGGACATTTTCTCAGCTGGCTGCCTTTTCTCAGTTTTTTTTTCTGCTGCCCAGAGGCAACTGCCTACTCACTAGAGGAGCACTGTTGCTCTGTAGCACTGCAGGAACACTCCCTGCTGTTCTGCTCTGTGCCACAGTGCAAGCACATGCACCCACATTAACCCCCCCCCCCCCCGCAAATGTGTCCACTCCTCACAAACCCATGTGCAGGACTCACATACATTGCCTGCTCCTGCACCCTCCTCCTGCACCCAGGCACAGAGAGAACATCTGCAAGGGCACCTGTGCAAGGAATTGAGGGAGCATGTCCTGTGGGCATCTGTCTGGTAAAGTGTTCTGGCTGGCCATAAGGAATGTGTTTGTCACACAGCTGTGAGGGCGGGCAGGGGGCAGCAGTGCTTCTTGAGAGTACTTAGGAATGCCTGGGACAAGGTAGGAGTGGCAGGGAAAGTGGGAGAGAGAGCAGGAGACCTGGGCTTCTCAGGATGAAAACCCTGTTGGCAATGCCCACTCTGGTTTCCCGAAGAGAGCACACATGCAGCCATTTCGCAGTGTCTCCGACCAGACAGGAGTGCCAAGCGTGCCTGTCTCCAACGTCACTGCTGCTGCAGATGGTACTGTGCAGTGCCCTGCTGCTGATATTCCAGAGCTGTGGCTGGGCATTGAAGAGGGAAAGAGCATTGCAAGGCAGCCAACTGAGTGTGGCTGTAGCTGCCTCAGCAGCTGCTAGGCAGAACATGACAGTCTGTACCTGTTGGATGATGAATTTTCCTTATCCTTTGGATACAGATTACCAAGCTACCCTTGAGTTTGGTATAGGTAGTAGAAGTCTGTATTCTTGCTTCTGTGAGCAAGATCAGAACAAGAATATGGGCTGGGTGGGGGATGTTGGGAATTGTAGGACTAGTTTCTGTCTAAACATGCATGTATTGCATCCTGAATTAGCTTAATACCTGATGGGTTTTCACAGTAAAAAGGAAGCATGAGTCATGCTTTTTCAGTAGTCTCTGAATTGGGGCTCATTTGCCTCCACCTGTTCACAATAAATTACTAAGAACATGCATTAAAATAGAATATACTATTTAGTTAAATGAAAGCAAGTTTGTGTGTGTGTGATAATGCTTTTGTGTCTAAGCCTTTAATATGATACACAACAAAGAGTTAAGAGGAGAAGTGAGATGGAGTGGATGTATGCCTTTTGATGACAGCTATAATTTTAATCATAGCCTTTTTCTCTTACTTCTTCTTTCTTCAAATAGGAGATGGATGTGGACCTATGATCATCTATCAAGACAGTGGAACTCTGGCATCCAAGAACTATCCTGGGACTTATCCCAACCACACAGTCTGTGAAAAGAAAATTCAGGTGCCTGAGGGGAAACGGCTGATATTAAAATTTGGAGATTTGGATATTGAATCCCAGAAGTGTGAATCTGACTATCTTAGCATCTATAGCTCAACAACAGTGCATGGTATGTACTGGTAAGACTAAATTGCAAGTAGACTAAGGCTGCAATCCTGTACACATTTCCCTGGGAGTAATCCCCATTGAACTCCATGACACTCAAATCCTTGTGGTGGTGCATACAATTGCACAGTTATAGTTCTAATGAACTGAAGTATAGCAAACTAAGTGAAACACAGCAAGCTATGGGTAAAACAGAGTAAGAAAGATAATTCCCACTCCAGCTGCTTAAAATTTATTCTCAAACAAAAATGGAAAAGGATCAGCTGGAAGGACTCCTTTCTCCAGGCTTCAGTAATACAGGTTGTCCCTGGTTTATGGACAAGTTCCATTTCTGAGAATGTCCATAAGTCAGATGTATGTAAGTCAGATCACATGAGTAAGCCAAATGTTTATCTTAGCATATGTATCTATTTTATCTTTTTATGTATGTAAAACACTTACGAAACACTACCTTGACATCCAGGAAAGCCAAATTCTGAAAGTTGTGTGAAGTAGACAAATTAGAAAAAGGAGTTCCATGCTTCATTCCCAACCAGAAATATTTCTCATGCATCTCTCGATACAGAAAAAAAAGCCCAGATCCACACAGAAGGTAGCTATATATTATTGTAACATGGAAGCAAAAACCAGATGAGTTCAGGATCCTGCTAGATTCAATGCAGATGGATACCATATACAGCAATACCTCTTCTTTAAATAATGTTGCAAGTTCTGTTAAGATGGGACTTGTTAGACTGAAGTGGAAGAGACCATGGGTGGTTATTTTAGTAAAGAACATAGATCCTTAATGGATTGCTTTTTCATGTTTGAATATTACTTTTCAGGCATGCTTTGAAAGTCGTAGTACTTTTACATGCTCTACTGCAGTTAAAAAAACTTGACACACTGTTGAGTGTTATGAAACTGTGTGGCCAACATGAGCTTACAAGGGCTGTCAGTTTTAATTTGTTAGGTCTGAGAACTTGTAAAACATTAGTCAATGTTAAACCTACTTATGAGACCATACTTCCCTTGGGGCTTATTAGATGTGCTTCTAAGTGTTTCTTAGATGAATAGATGTGCTTAGGAGTATACTGTTAGATACTATAATAACAAGTGCTGAGTATGACGCCTTCTTCAGTTCTAGTGCCCACTTGGCCATGAAGCCTTTGGGCCAGTCACTGACTCTCAGCCTAACCTACCTCACAGGTTTATGGTGAGAATAAAATGGAAAGGAAAAAGAGGACCATTGCATAAGCCCCCTTGAGTTCTTTGCAAGAAAAAGACAAGATATAAATAGCAGTCAATCAATCTGGCAGCTTCAGAGAAGATATTGAAAGAACCCTACATATGATTGTGAAAAATAAAACAAGCACATAAATATAGGCATACTTTCTTGATTTTGGATGTCAAACTATGCACATGTATAGTTTGACATCCAAACTAAACTATATTTAGTGTCAGCCCCACTAAACACAGTGAACCTACTTTCAAACAAATATGCATAGGTTTGCAGTGTTGCTTGTATTCATGTACCCCAGTGATTCCCAAAGTGGGCAGCGGAAAAATCGGGGGGGGGGGGCAGTGATTGCTTGTTTTAAATTTGCAGTAGAGCAATAGACCTAATACAAAGAAAGAGGCATGGGTGGGGTGGGGGGTTGCCTAAGAGGAAAAGGGGTGGCAGCCTGAAAAACTTTGGGTACCACTGGTATACACCATAGAATTTGTCATGGAGCATTTACCACCAACTTCCAGTGAAATTATTGAGAATTGCTTTTATTTTTTCTATTTATTATTTCCACTTGTATGCCACCATAATAGCTCATAGTGGAGCTCCCTTGTGGTTTACAATGATTAAAACAACATAAATTCTTAAATCAATAACACTAAAAACAATCCCCAAACATTAATAATACAAAATATAACTAAACAAATTAAGATCATTACATTAAAATTGCAATTAAACAATTTCAAATAAATAATATAAATTAAAATAAAGCCAAGGTCAAGTTAAAATCAAAATTTTACATTAATATATTTAAGCTGGATGTGATTTTTGCAGTTTTTTACTGCTTGCTTGTTCTCCACCTGCAAAATACACACACACATATGGAGAATCTTGTGTGTGTGTCTCACTAATCTGTTTCTGATAGGAATTTCTGTCATTCAGCTAATTGTCCAAATAAGGCTGTGCAAATGAAATGGCAGGTCATTCTCTGTAATGTTTAGATATCATAATGTTCACATTTGTAAACCATGTAGATTTGGCCTTTTACTCATAGCAGTGAGGCCAGCTTATATTAAACTGAGCAGCTTATGCTTCTTAAAGACATGGGAAGTCAAGCCTGTGGTCCATCTAATCTAACACTATCTGTTCTGACTAGTAGTGGCTCTCCATGCTCAGATGGAAGCTTTCGCCAGACCCACAATCTGATAACTTTTTGACTCATGCAACTCGGTGTCCTCCCTTTGTTTTGGACCAAATCTCTCATACAGACCAGCCAGCATGGTCAGTGATCCTAAATTACGGGAGTTGTCTTACATATATGGTGCATGGGACAAGGTTGCCTACCCCAATTTAATTGGCAATACCAAAGCTGAGACCTACTACAATTGAACCATATATTTTAGCGTTGTGTTTATAGATTTTTCCCTTCAGAAATTCCTTCAGGTTCTTTGAGCTAGGGATAGGAAAAACACTTGATGAGTTTTCAGGTGATGCTATATAAATACAACTGGCAACAGTATCTATAACAACTAATATTCATATGCTTTACAATGAATTGTTTAGAAGCGGTTGATTATTCCATTGTGTGTATAGGCTGTAGAGTTGTTGTTAGTTGCAAAGTCGCTTCCAACCCATCACGACCCCATGGACAACATTCCTCCAGGCCTTCCTGTCCTCCACCATCCCCTGGAATCCACTTAAGTTCACATGGACTGCTTCAGTGACTCCATCTAGCCGCCTCATTCTCTGCCGTCCCCTTCTTTTGCCCTGAATTGTTCCCAGTATTCAACAGCATTTCTGCTCTTTTCTATTCCCAAGAGCTTTGGCACAAAGAACTACATTTTTAAGACTTTCTGTTGAAAGCCTTGTGTGTGGGCTCTCTCATTCTTTCTCTCTGTCTAGGCTTTTTGTGTCAGTTTTCATAGGCATCTTAGATGTGCTACTTAGATGTGCTACTTTGAAAGATTTTTAGCCCCAGACCAGTCAGCCATAGATGAGTCATTGGTCTTAATTATACCTGAGCAATAGACAGGTCATCGAGAAACTTAAGAAAGAGACAGCAGAAATGTACCTGTGGTTTAATATGTGGAGGCACATATTGGGTGAAAATGAGGGAGGAGGAGGTTAGTCATCTGAAGACTCTGAAAATATAAAACAGTATTGTTCTTTTTCTTCTGTTTTCTTTACTTTAAAAAATGTGTTGCCTGTCCAGCTTGCATGAGACATGGCATGTATTGCCACATATTAATATGAATGATCTGTCTTTATTTTCGTCCCCGTGGCTGAATTGGAAGTTGCTTACGTAAGGTGTTCTTATGGGATGAACAATACCCAAAGATTGGCTACGAGAGTTAGTAATGGGCTGGATGGGGCCTAATAAGCTGAAGATAAGCCGAGTTACAGTCCAGGTTTTCTGTCAAGATGGCTTGATAGACAATAGCAAGTTTGTGACTATGAAATCCTACAAGAATTCAAAGATGTTTACTAGCTGGGGGAAGCTTGTATCCCTACAGTGATATTCTTGGGCATATACATTAACTTTGGTCTTGTTTTGCTTCATTTCGGTTAAATTTTTGTGGCCTCTGAGTAAGCCGAGCAGGACTAGAAACGACAAGAAAGCCTCTTAAGCAGCATGGAGTGCCTTGTTCCACCTGGCATTTTCACCCCCTGCCATCCTGGCTAACCCACCAGATGTCAGCAGACATCTCTTTTCCATAGAAACAGCAATAGCTAACTTATAGAACTCAGTAGATCAATTACAGAAGAGGATAGGCACAATTGAAGCACATGTGTCTGATACAGAATACCAAGAGAAGCCATGCAAACAGCTCTAAAAAATACAGGTTGATAGTACCACACTGCAAATGAAGCTGTCTGACTTAGAGAGCACATCCATGGGAACAATATAGGAATAGTTTGACTCAAGGAATAGTTTTTCTCATGTGTTTTCATCTTCCTGGACTATTCAAAAGATGTGATAGAAGCAAGACAAGCCTTAAGGAGAACGGCACATGATTATCACATGGTCTGCCACCTTTGCTTTCCCACTGTATTCTGTGTTCATTCCTTTAAGACAATTCCAGAAACAGAAGTTTGGTTGAGACTTCCTCCCCAACAGTACATCCAAATGAAGAGTGAAACATGTTCTTGGGAAAATGTATTTATTAATTTTTTTAAAATACTGTCCACCTTAGCCAAATGACTGAACGATTTACAATAAAATTTAATAAAATTTATCCAGCTTTTCTGCAGATATATTACAGATAGGCTCTGCCTCAGTTGTACTTTCTATAATGCATTTTATGGATAAATATTGTTTAGCCAATTATATGATGAAAGTATGGAGCTACCATTGTAGAAATGATACATTAAGTTTGAGTTGATTTCATTTTTACATTTTGTGCACGAGGCCAATAGTCAAAGATAACTTTAAAGCTCATTATTGCTGTACTATTAGCATTATTAGCATTCATTATTATTGTTATTATTACTACCAGTTTTATTAGTATAATTATTATTACCATTATCACTCTAAAAATATATAAATTACATATAGCCTTGGTGACATGGATCCCAAGACTAGGTGTTGTGTTAACCCCACTGATATTTTATGGAAGGCTTGTGTTTTTATATCATCAAAGCTATGAGTTTCATGAGAAACCCGTTTGTTCACAGATGAGCTGGAAGTTGGAATAGCCCTTGCTTGGAAGTAATTTGAAAGTTTCAGTGATGTGTGAAGTGTGTTCTATGTTGCTTTTACTTTTCCATATTTTATCAGTGGTGTTTCTGGCTGTCAGTTGGATACTTAGATATTTGTTATATTGTTTATTGGTTGTTGTCTTTTTGTTGTTCTCTTCTACATGACACACATACACACTACTGTGTTTTTATAGAAAATGTGTATTGTTCTCCTGGTGCACTGTCTGAAATAACTAATTTGATACTTGGCAAGCTATATTTGTATTGTTTGGAGTGATCTCAGTTCTTGCTGTGCATGATTGGCATCATATTGTACTTATACCATACTTTGTGTGTAATTGTAGTTTTTTATATTATTTTATGTAGTTTTTATATTATTATGAGTAGAGTTTTTGTGTGAAAAAATTGTAACAGTTAAATAAAAATTATGAATACAAAAAAGGGATTGACAGTCCAGGGTATATGATTGGTTTCTCTGTGGTTATATTCCCCAGGATTATGCTCTCATAGACCATACTTTCCATGAAAGATCAGGTCTACAGTTTGAAGGTTCTTTTAGTACTGCTACCTGAGGTTTAGGTGGTATTGTAGGCTATTGTGCTTGTTTCAATTTCTTTAAATTATTGTAAGTCACTTTAGAAGAGTGATACTGAAAAGCATGTTTAAGTTGCGTTGACCACATGCTGTGGTGATGTTTCTTTACCACAATATATTAACATCTCCTGCAGGAGGCATAGTGTGAGGTGCTTCCAGTGGCAAACGTGGCAATGGGCCATAGCACTAAATCATTCTTGAGTGGTTTTGCCACTGTGGAACTTTCTGCCGAGAGAGAGGAATTGGCTTAATATAATTTAATAATGGCTATTTTGCACATAATCATCTACATTGCAGTAATCATCTACAGAGCACTTTTTTTCTCTTCCAGTATCCACAGCCATTCTTTTTTTAATCTGTCCTCCAATTTTTTGGTTAGGGGAAAGTGATCCCAAGATTTTGCTTTCCTATTCATTATATCACGAATAGTTTAACCATTTATTAATTTTTACTGACTTTACGGTATTCTCAGTGTTTGACAATCCACTTCGACAACCTTTGGGATTAGTTGATAGCATTTTAAAATAGGCATGTAATATATATTAAAATGGAAAGAAAGTAATTACAGGCCTGTCATCCCTGCTGTCAAGCCAAAGCCAGCATACACAGCTGCAGCTAAGTGGTGGGGCCCAATAGCCTCATAGTGATAGAGGGGTCATTGGAAAAAGTTAATGAAATGGACTCAAGTGTAACACCTAGGAGTTTGGTTGTTCTAAAAGTGCCTGGTGTTCTAATGTGTATTTGATCTTCCATGAGGTAAGTGTAGGATTGATTTCAGGTGAATTTCCTAAAACAGGTAGAAAAAACAATTTCTCTCAAAACCAAGATTAACAGTGAAGTATTTATATGACTTATAAATAGTTAATACTAGTGTAGGTGATGTTATTTAGCTCTGCCTTTATTACTCACTGTATGCTTTATCCTTCAAGAAAAGTGTGCCTGCTTTTCCCCTTATCATTTATCTGGTAATTACAGCTAAAGCTCCTGCATTTCTGTTTCTGTTGATGCTATCTCACGGAGACCACATGAATATTCAGCTGACTTGTCAAAGTTGGACTTAAATGGACTACTGCCTTTTAAGAATGTTGTACTTCAAAGGCTAGTGAGCACTAGTGAAGCTAAAACAACCTGAAATGTTAATACCAGCTTTTCTTTTCTTGCTGAGCACAGAATGACAAAAATGTAATTGTCCAAGTAACTTCAAAGGTTGCAAATAAAAATACCATGAAATATGCATGTGATAAAGTAGAATTCCAAGGATGATGAACATATATTTTTATGCTTTAGCTTTAATATATTTAGACCACCAAAATTATTTCAAATCTTTGTTTATTCTGTATTTAGGACCATACTGTGGCAATGTGCCTGTCCCAGCAGAAATAATACTGGATTCTAATGAAGCAACTGTTCACTTTGAGAGCAGGTTCCATGTGTCTGGAAGAGGATTTCTGCTATCCTTTGCTAGTAGTGATCATCCAGGTAAAGTTGAGTGCCACAGAACATCATGGGCTAGAGTAGGGATTGGCTCTGGAAGTGTTCGTTCTATCTTTCCTGGTCCTGTGGGTTTCTTGAAGCATCTTGAGTTAGGATGAGCATGGAGTAAAGGAAGAATAATTCACCCAGCAGTGTGGTACACTCACTCTCTCCTGCTTGAGCACAAAAATCCATGTGGGTTTTTAAATGGGTGGGTTTTTGTTACATGCAAACCAGACCCTTATATCAACAAGAGGAAAGTTCCATAAAGCTGGTGGGGTGACACAAAAAAACCTCTAAGTTGTCACAAAGTGAATCTTAAGAGTTTGTGTCACTGCTAAAAGGGCTTACACAGATTACTGCAGTGACTGGGCAGAACATAATGAGTCAAACAGTTGTTTAAATGTTGACACATTCTTTTTTTAACCATGTTTTGATTCTAAAGAGAAATCTTTATTCTGACATATCACCCTAACTAAATCTTTTTTTGCTTCAGAGTAAAGTCATTTGCCTCAACTGTAATCTTCACTTTACAAATAACAGTAACTATTTTAAAAATCTAAAAATGACTTTCAGAATTCTTTCTGCCATACCTGCATGGTATTTGCTATAGGATGTAACATGTGCTTGATACAGTTCTCTGAAGTAAATACTCTGAGGGTAGAGTTTGGCATAATTGCTTCTGTAGAAAAGAAAATGTGAATCCAGCTGAACCAATTTGGGAGAAGGGAAGCAGTTGAGGAAAGAAAAGAGGCAAGATTGAAAGAACAGCATTTTAATAGACTAGCCACATCTTTTCTATTTGCTGTATATTCCTGATTAAAAAAAATAACTTTCACTTTCAACAGATCTAATAACATGTCTGGAAAGAGCAAACCACTATGTGGAGATGGAATACAGGTAAATATAAGTTTAGCAGATAGACACTCTGGTTGTCATGTTGCATCTTGCATTTGACATATTTAGTGTTGAAACTGGATAAGGAGCATGTGACTTGTGATGCTTGAAGCCCTACTGCCAACCACAGGAATGTGTTTTTCTGGAGATACTTGGAGGAATATCTGTGATTATCCTATTTGATGCTTGTCTGGGAGAGGCACCAAAGTCTTTCTCAGAGAGACTTTGCATACCAGAGTAATTAAGGAATGCTGCTGCAGACCTCTGCTTGCTGCCTTGATGTATAGCACACTAGCCAGTACTGGCAAAACGAGCTAGGATAACACTTTTGTGCTGCAGGTTCTTTGCTCCTAATAAAGGAAGCAGGGCTTTAAAATGAAATGGAAGGACTAACTGTCGGTCCATGTCAATTTAAAAGCAGTATCAGTTTGGGTTTTTTTTTAAATATACATCCCTTACTGTTTAAAGAATAATGAAAGCCGTTAATGGTTCCCTGAACACATAATCTGACAAAAGGAAACTAAACAGAACAAACTGCTGTTTGTTTGGCCATCTGTGCTATGATGTACAACATGTGAATAAGTTTGAACTTAGTAAGGGAAAGCCTGACTTGCTTTTCATACTGTCCTTTGTGACACTGCATTTCACACTAGTTCCTACTTCAAACAGAGTTTACTCTGTTCTCCATGACAGCAGGTATTGTCCAGCTGGTTGCCGAGACGTAGCAGGTGATATTTCTGGGAATATAGTGGAAGGTTACAGAGATGTAAGTACCTTTTCTCCAAATATATACAGATTTTAAAATATGCAGAATTTGCTTTATATACAAACTAAAAGTTTAACCTTGGGTTCAAAGGCAAGGAAGATAATCTGCTATACAAATTAGAGTTTAATCAGTTTTGTGGAAGACTTAAGTATTGGAAATTGTTATCAAAGGGAGAAGAAAAACAAACAGGCAGCTTTATAAAACTCCAGATTGGGAGAATGTTGCAAGTCATAGGTCTACATGCCTTTTCTACCAATCTAAAAGTGGCAGATACTAAATTATTGGTAGAGAATATATTCTGCCCATTAGCTGAATCTCTCCTAGCATTGCTAGTGCCTAAATGCTTAACATAGAATAGGCACTATCCAAGTGGGGCCTTTATGTCTCCACCAATTCTGCTGCACATCACAAATTCCATTCCTAAAATGGCACCCACTGCTTATGTAAAGGGAGTTTAGCACTTCTGGAGGCAACCCCAAATGAACAGAAAATTTTGTTTCTAGATGGAGGCAGATCAGTGCTCTTATAAGAGAGCTTCATCAACTTGCCTTCCTCCAGAAACAAGCACTTGTGCTCATTATGGGACTTCCTCTAGAAATGGCTTAATCTCCTTCGTATAAGTGGTGTGCCCTGCTTGGTCAGTAGAAATTGTTGTTTTAATTGTCTTTTTAAATATTGCAAGCCATCCTGAGATCTTGTATGATAGGACGGCATACAAAAGCTTTTAATGAATGAATGAATGAACGAATGAATGAATATGGTCTAATTGGTGTAGTCCTTCATATACCAGTCTCAGCCATATCTTGTTATTCAGTTTATAAATCAGTCATAGCAGATCTTGGCCTCAGCATGTGCACAATAGTTGGAGTACCTACAACAAAACTGCAAATGGATATTGTAGTTTTCTACTTTTACCTACAGAAATGAAATGATACTGTGCTAATGATTTTCTAAATAAGCAAGTTGTCTTCCTGCTCTGTAGAATAATGAACCTCATAACATATTTCCCGTGCAAGTAAACTTGTCTACATGTTTTCACAGTCAATGCTCTTCTCCAGTTAACTTAGGTAATATACAGAGAATTGTGTCTTCTTTGATTCATATTTTCAAAGAATAGCAAAAAGATACTGATAGCACATTGACCATCAGTTTCTTCCAATACTAAAATCTTGTCTTATATTTTATTTGACTTCTGTAAATCAGACATCCTTATTATGCAAATCTGCCATACATGCTGGAGTAATTGCAGATGAACTTGGTGGCCAGATCAGTGTGATTCAGCTGAAAGGAACAAGACGCTATCAGGGAATCTTTGCCAATGGCATTCTTTCACAGGAGTAAGTATTACATCTCAGCTTAATTAATACAGTTTGCCTGTTCATGGAGTACCTTCACTCATCCATTTGTGTGAGCCACGGTTAAACAAAGACAAGATTGTGGAACATTTTTCAACCTGAGGGCCTAATTCAGTTTAGAAAAGCTCTCCAGGTCTGTTGTGTGGGGTCTGGTGGTGGGAATCAAAGGTATAAGGCATGGATCCTCCAACTATGGCCCGGGGGCTGGATCCGGCCCACTATGCCCATTTATCCGGCCTGCCATGCCCATTTGGACCCGTTGTGCATGCGCCCATACGCGCGCTTGCTGCCACCCACCTTGCCCCGTGTGCGGGGAGGCAGCGGTTTGCTCATTCGGAGAAAACAATCTCCAAGTGAGCAAGCTGCTGCCTCGTGTGCCCACCTCGCGGTGCATGCCCGTCCCTGCCTCGCCTCCCTTCGCCATGCACGCACACCCACCCTCGCCTCGTGCACTGCCTCCTCACCTGCCCGCACGCTCCACCGGCACCACCTTTCCAGCCCACACCCAGCACCGGCACCTTTCAACTGGTCCCCCGGAGAAAAAGTTTGAGGACCCCTGGTATAAGGAATGGAACCAAACTCCAAACAATACCAGCATATTGTGGCTTAAAGATCTTCCTGCCAGTAACTCAGCATTAGGAGAGGCATTTCAACTTTTTAGAATGGAGGAACAGCTGCACAAAAGCAGGGGAACTACAAGTGAATGGTGGTTAGGGGGAAAGGATGAGACACAAAAGATGGCAGGGTCATTTGAAGCCTCCAGGAGGCCTCCAAGTTTCCCACCACTGAGTTAGGAAGATGCTAATTAACAATAATTTCATCTGAGCTAGGAAGCTATAGTCAGCTTCAGAAATGAGATATGAATAAGCTTTGTGCTCTCACTTGTAGCTGCTTTGTCTCTCCCTTTGTGTGAACAAACATGCCAGGAAGTCTGCCATTAACTACAGCTTCCCGTTTGTCTGAACTGGAAAATTGTGATTAATGCCTTTAGAACAAATGGTATGAAACTGTGGTTTGCAATTGGATTCACATCCTAGTTTGTTTCAAGATTGTTAACTCTTGTTTCCTGGTTTAGATAAAATGGGGAAACTATAATTAATGGAAGACTTCCTCATCTGTTTGTAAACACCAGAAAAAAGCGGGGTAGCAGAGCTTTGTGTGCAAGACTTATTTGTTTCCCACTTACATTTGTCCAAATATCATTTCTGGTTATCCATTTCAAAACAAGCCAGGATAGGAAATCTCTTCCCTCTGATGCACTGCTAAAATGGCTCCCAGTATTGAGACGACAGTAACCTGGAGTCCTTGCACTGTACTTTTGGTTAATTAGGAGTAGACTTCAGGCCCTTCAATCATAAGCTAATGCAGAGGAGTGCTCAGAGAAATACGTGGAAATTAGCTTTGTCCAGGATCTTAGCAACGGTAAACCAGATACTTCCACCCACTGTGGTGTTAAGGCAGTCTGCTCTAGACATTCCAAGGAGGCCATTTGCATGCCAAGGGGAGTAAAGTTCCCCACGTCTATTTAACACTTTTCAAAAAGCATGTAAATAAAGTTTCCAGTGAATCAAATAACGCAATTGCAATCCTTGTACATTTCCTCTGGCTCCAAATCTGGTGTTAGTGTTCTTAACTGTTTCTCCCTTTGTTTTACACATTCAATCCAACAGAGACTACACAATGAGTAGGTTTGAATCCCTTCTGACAAATTTGTGCCAGAGTTACAATATACTCGGGTGACACAAAAATCAGTAAGAAAGGGGGAAAGTGCCCAACAAAGACTGGTTGTCCCAAGTAACCCAGCACATGTGGTTACATAGTAGTATTTACATTTCTCAAAGCAGGAAATGAACAATTCCAAATGCACTGAAGTTGAATCAAGATCAGACAGAGATGTTCTAACCTTCAGTGGCCTTACTTTTATTATCATCCAGCTACTTCATTAAAAAGCCACATTGTGCTTTTAGAAATCTAATTTACAAGCTACCGCTTGTATCTACTGAGCACCTTGAAGATTTTAACTGAAATGTGAATGAAGCATGTTTAATTGCTTAGAAGTTATTTGACCCTGACCTTGGCAGTACTGGGTTTGTTTTGAGTACTATTTTTTGAGTACTATTTGTTTTGAGTACAGTCACATATACTGTCAGTGATCCTTGCATGTGTAATAAACTCAAAGCCTTTCTGCTTTGGCTTGAATGCTAACTTAAGTGATAATGTGTCCTCATACTATTCTCTTGGGGATTAATATGGCTCTCAGATCTTGCACAGTTGCTGAAACGAGTTAGCCATAAAAATCCATGGAAAAAGCTTGGGACACAACTCAAAGTCAAGTGCACTTAAGCCCTATTGATTTCAATTGGCAAACTAAGTACATTTAAGCAATTTTGTATTATACTTTTGTCCTGCTCCCGCCACCTTTTTTTTAAAGAAAGCACATTGTTTTTTAAAAACTCTGGTCTCCCGTCCAGGCACTGATACTCAATTTTTACCTTCTTCATTGCTACAGGATTAGGTGCTGCAAGGCCAAACATTGGGCCACATGACAAGTAGAAGTAGTTTACTTTAACTGGTTAAATTGCATTACATTGTAGCATGCTTATGATTTAGCTTATATTGTACTTTCTAAAGATAAATTTGCAGTTTGCGAGCTTTGTGACACCACTGTTTCCATCTCTGTAGGGCACTGGTATACAGCTTGAGGTCCTCCAGATGCTTAGACCTACAAGTCACATCTCGCCTAACTAGCATAGCCAGTGGTGAAGAATCATGAGGGTTGTAGGACAAACCATCCTGAGGGCTGCAAGTTGCTAACCCCTCCTATAGAGAGACATTACAACTCATAAATATTAGCTAATTAGAATGCCTTAGATTCATATCGCAATGAGGATCAAGGCAATAATATAGTAGGCATTATTCATAGCTTTTTTCTTTGAAAAATCTCTACAGCATCTTATGATGCAGGTAATTACAAATAATCTTAGTTTCAAATGATTGAATCCTGATTTAGGGTAGTATCCTATTATACCATTGCATCCATATAATAGTCACAAATCTGTGGAAACACTGGAACAGATCGGTAAAGTTTCCAGAAGGAAAGTCTGCTATCCATCCCCAATCCTGAAACTAAGGTTTCTGCTCACTTTTCCAGGTTAATTTTTGATGCACAAAAACCTGGCTATGCAATCAGTTGTACCTATGAATGCAGTAGAACCAAGTGAGGTGGCATGGCCCTGCAGAATATTTTCCCAGGTCATTATATAGAATAATTACATGGAAATCAAACCCCACTGATTTGAATGGTTTGGACTCCTTTGAGAGGCATGTAGGATTGTAATAGCCTGGTGTATGATATCCTTACCCTAACATTGTAATATAATGATCTGGTTCACAGACTACACTAAAGCATGGTTTAGCCATGGTTTGTTGACTTACTCAGGATTTGTGTAGCAAATGCTTAAGTGAACCATGGTTTGTATTCTCAATCCTTGGTTTGCTTATTTTCCTCCTCCCTTAAACATTTTCTCCTTGACTGCCAAATGTCTTTGCAGTGCTACAATATTGGCATTTAGACTGGCTGTGGGGGTGGAGGTTACCACTCTTGCCTACTACCTCTGTGGCTTGGCAAACAACCCATGAATAATCTATAGTTCTGGGTTCACTAATAATGATAACCTATGATTTGAATCAGTGGTTTTCATCCTTTGCACAGCTAGGGACTGGCCAAAACAAGAAAACCACCTTGGGGACTGCTGAGGCAGAAACAAAAAGCACCATACCCATAATACAGTATTTTGTGTATTGGTTTCCAAGCACAATACCAAAAAGATGAAAATTCTCCAAAACAACCAGAAAATGAGCAACAAAAAATGCCAACAAAAGAACAAACTACCCAAATCAGTGCAGTGTGGCTCCCAGCTGTCTCCCACCAAGCCATCTCCCCCCCCCCCCCCCCCCTGTAGTACCAGCGCATCCCCCACAAACACAGTGCCACCCGAGAGAGGTGGTGGAGCACAGCCAGCCCCTGCGCCACTTTGCAGTGAGAGGGATGTGGGCCCCGCGTGGATCGGCAGGAAATCATCCACAGACTGGCAGTTGGAAACCACTGATTTAAACAACCCAGGATGCACACAGCCAAACAACAAACCATGGGTTCTGTGTCTGGTTTCTGTGAAGTAAATAAACTGGAAATCACAAATGATTATGGTTTGTTAGCTGAATTTGTTCATCACAAGGACCCAGAATTCAGCCACTAATGTGTTAAATAAACCATGAGTTAATGTTATAAGTGAACCAGATAAATATTTTGTTGCATTGTGCAGGTGTAATGCTCTATGTGGTGCAGAAACTTTTGAATCAGATTGGATGAAAAGGCAGATTATGAAGGATGTAAACGATTTCACCTTAAGATGAAAATAACCAGGATGATGGTGATTGATGCCATCTCTTGTTTTTTTCTTTTTCTTTACAGTGGCTCTTTGTCAGATAAACGGTTTATTTTTAATTCAAATGGTAAGAAATATTTCTTTCATTTTTAGAAATAAAGTGTAATTCAACTAAATAGAACTTGGAAGCCAAATACTATTATTAAGCAGAGGCAAGTCTCTCTTGGTTTTATACAGCTAGCTGTCAACTGGTGTGCAGAGGATCATACTGTTAATCTCTGAACTGTGCATTGCAATCCCCTTGTTTATTTCAGTTGGACTTTGCAGACACCTTACAGCCTTACTGCATTTTCTTATTGATCTAATTGATGGTTGGGCCAATAGTCTATTTAATCTAGCTGTTCTCACAGTTTATACACAAAGGGAGTCTTTCCACATCTATCTACTGAAGAAAACCTATGTGCTAGTCACTTTGCGAAACCTCCAAGTGGATTCAAATGGCATGCTAGGCATGACTTATAAAGCATTGTGGGGGTGCAAACACAGCACTGTTTCTGTGGGTGCTTTGTAAGCCACCCTGGGTTGGCTTATAAACTATGCCAGTTACCCATGGCTTGTTGTAGGGTTTAAATCATGGGTCTTCAAACTACGGCCCAGGGGCCAGATCCAGCCTGCCATGCCCATTTATCCGGCCCGCCATGCCCATTTGGACCCACCACGTGCACACCCGTGCCCATGCGTGCACCCACCACCGCCCACCTTGCCCCGTGCACGGGGAGGCAGCGGTTTGCTCGCTTGGAGAAAATGATCTCCAAGCAAGCAAGCTGCTGCCTTGTGCGCTGGCCTGCGTGCACTTCCAGTACCACCTTTCCAGTCCGTGCACACCTCCAGCACCACCTTTCCAGCCCGCGCCCATCACTAGCAGCTTTCAACTGGCCCCCTGGTGGAAAAGCTTGAGGACCCCTGGTTTAAATAATCACTTTGACTTAACATGTCATCTAATTCCAGATGCCATTACGCCACAGTCAAGCCAAAAAGGAAAGGAGTCCTTTGACCCGGGTGGCAAAAAGCACTGCCATTCTGGCCACAGGTCTCTAGCAAATTACAGCCAGTCAAGCTGTGATCAGTCTCCCCTTGGTTCCTGTCAGTCCAAGGAGAGCAGGGTTGCTTATGAACAATCCCACTCTCCCTCAGAAAACAGCAAGAGCCCATGTCAAAAGCTGTCAGATTCAACAGGCCCCCTTTGGGGCAGAAGCAGCTGTTCAATCTTGCTTCCAAGGAGAAGCCTGTGGGACAAATGGCACCTCTCCCTGCCCCGCACCACCTTCCCAAGCCTTGCCTGCTTGGGAAGGAGCGTACAGCAGACCTCAGCTTAGTTTCTCCGTGTCAGCTGCCAATCTCTCCAGCTCATTCAGAGTTACCATTCGCCTCTTGGTTGTTTCTCTGCCTGGATCACTGAGTTTTGCTCAAAGGCCTTCTTTGGGCAAAGTCATGGTTGATCCAGATACTCCCCATTTTGTAATAACGTATTTAGCTGTGCTCTGATGATTGGACATAATTTGGATAATTTTTTAATAACCAAACCCTGATGGGTTTCTGCACAATGTTGGCCCACAAATGCCTTCATAGCACTTGTTTCATAATGCTGGTTATGTAGATATATTCTCCAACAAACTCTGGGACTTTCTAGAAACAAGTGTGTTTTATTCTGAGATCATATGGCACTGGAATTGCACACAGGTAGAATTCACTCAACTACTTGACTTTTATAGCCAGTGGATTGCGCCAGACCTAATGTTGGCAGGTCACAGATAAGTGGGTTGATGTTATGCAATTGATACGTCCCAAGGGTTGTAGGTTGTTTTTTTTGTTTTGTTTTGTTTTGTTTTTTTGGTTAACTTTTGTGGCAAAATAAAAATACTTTGCACCTTCCATTTCTGTTGCAGGTTGTAACACAACAAAACGTGGAAAAGTTGAATGGAGGGTGGATGAATATTTCTGGAAGATATTGTCATTCTATAGTATTAGCTAATGCTGCGTGTATTACGACAATACAAAGAGACATTCACCTTTTTATTTTGTAATTTTAAGGTTGCAATAAATCACTGAACCCAGAAGGAGAAGATGCTTTTAATGGTCAGATCACTGCATCATCATTTTGGGGTGAAACCAATGAAAATGGGGAGGTGATTCAGTGGACTCCCAATAAGGCTTGGCTCAAAGCTCCAGGACCATCTTGGGCAGCAAACCAGAGCAATCATAGGCAGTGGCTAGAAATTGACCTTGGAGAGAAAACAAGGATAACAGGTCAGTTGTTTAGCAAGAACGTTTACCTGTGTCATTGTGTTCACTGTAAATCAGAAGCTTTTGTGAGCTTAAAATGCCACTTTGAGCATCTTGGAAAAAATCTATATAAAAATATAACATACAATTACAATTTTAAATGTTTTATGGAAGAATTTTGACAGACCTCTTTGTTATCACTGCAATTACCCATAAAAATCTGAGTTATTAAGATTGCACTCTGTCCTCACCAGCAAAGACAATTTGAAATACAAAACTCACCCTTTAGGCCAAATTCTTCTTCAGTCACAACAGGAGTTCAGGAATAACATGCCTTTCCACTAATATAATAAAGAGTGATCTATGTGTTGATAAAATGCCAAAAGCTCACTGAGGCTGACCTATGGTGAATTCCTCTTATAAATGGCTACAAAACCTTTATCATAGAAATGCTGAAAGGAATATCCTATGTCTGTGTCTTCTGTAGTCTTTTTTGGATCTTGGAATTGATTGTAGTTTATTATTTTAAGGCTTCAGCAAAACTAAATATGCACAATGATACATACCTGAATCCAGAACTATTAGGGGCTGAATGAGACTTGATTATGCATTCTTTTCATACATCCTGTGGTTTTGTATCTAGACACATTGGATTTCCCCCTTTTTGTGTCATATATAATGCTGGCACTCTTAAGAATTGCTGTGCTTGCAAGTTGTAGCCTAGGACTGATGGAAGAAGCCTTTACTACCTCAGAAAAATATGGTGCAAGATACGGGGCTAACTTGTTCTGTAGGAACATGAAAAAGGGCACAGAGCCTCATCCTAAAAACATTCTGGCAGCCCCGTGAATAAATGGTAACGCTTGCTACAGCTGTCAGGAGGAAACTTGTCTACAGGAATGTAACCAGATGTGCACTCTCCTGTGCTCATGTGTGTCTCTATGTAACGCTGTGTGAGCATACATGCATAGATATACATATGCCTGTGCACAGAAGCAGGCCTGATTTTCTCTGAAACTCCACTTTGCATCTTACCTATAACAGCTGGTTCATCCTTCATATGGCACTTAGGCACTGCTTGAAGTGGAGTGGCGTGTCACCCCACCCCTTTTCACATACACATAATTAATCCTGGCATATTACTGGCAGGTAGGATGCAACCAGTAGGTTGGATCCAGATGTCAGTACGTGAAGTTGGCTTCCACCAGCCTGTTGCACTATACCCTTCTCCCTTTGGTATCCCCTGAAACTGCTACACTGAGGATTGGGGTATCTTGCCAGATGGGGAGAGGATCCCTGAAAATTTGCCCATGATTAGCAGAGCTCCCAAGTGCTTTGTGTAGCACCCTTGGAGGGATTTTGGGAGGAGGAGTGGGCAAGGAAGTCTGCTCCTGCCCATCTGTTGCATATGTCTAAATATGGGTCCAAACCAAGGCTTATAATCGCATATCTTCTTCTAAATAGTGGATTGTAATTTCTGCTGGAAAGACCTGCATGTAAAAATAATTGCTGCAATCCAATTTGCACGTGTACAAATTGTCATTACCACCTGTGACAGGTGGAACTTCACAATTGTAGGAGTCCTTTCCTCCAACACTGTCAATAGTTGGAGAGCCCCAGCAAGTGCATGTGAAATCTACAGATCATGGGCAGTGGGAGAAGTGGTGATATGCTCTAAAGCTTACATTTTTTGAAATAGTGATGTTTCTTAATTATGATCTATGTATAAATTAGCAATTTCTGTTTGAAGGAAACAATATTAGTTTCTTTTTCCTTATTAACCATGAAACAAAAATGTACTCTTTTTTATATTTTTCTTTTATCACAAGGAATTAGAACTACAGGGTCTACTGTGCTCAATTTTAACTATTATGTTAAGACGTTTATTGTGAACTATAAAAATAACAACTCAAAATGGAGGACTTACAAAGGAATCGTAAGCAATGAAGAAAAGGTAAGTCTGGGGGAGATGGAAGGGGAAGGGGCAAAGAAACGTGGGTGTTAAATTCTCCACCCTCTCCACAGCATGTCAGGGTCTGCTTCCATCATTCCTTTTCCTGTGCCAAGGGAAGCATTTCTCTGCACAGTTATGCTTAAATCTCATTGGCTTCAGGGGGTGTAAGTAGGCTGAATGTGAACCGGATTTCATTTGAGATTTGGTTGGGATATGGGTCATTTGTTTTGTCCGTTGCATTCAGAGGATGCTAGCCCTTTTTGCAGCAGTGCAATGATTGCAGTGCGAAAACATATGTATGGAAGCTGGAGACTCCTTTTCAATAGAGAATGATGGATAATCAGCTTTCCAGATAAGAGATTATTTAGGCTAGGCAAAGCTGTGAAATCTGATGATAGAGGCTGGGGTGCTGGCTCTGAAATACTGTTTTCATACATATTTTTTTCCTCCAGCTAGAACTCTGAACTCTGCTTTAAATGAAACTCTGGGACCAAAGAGATTGTTGTCAGGGAGGGAACCAACATTAATTATAGTGTGCACAGTGAGTTGTTGCCTTTAGGGTGAGGAAGTACTGCATGGGAAAGGCATAATGAGCTGGTTTGCACATTTAATTGCATAGACTTTAAAAATACTTTCTCAGTGCACATACTTAACATTTGCTAACAGTTGATCTAAATCTGTTATTCATTTTTCTTTCAAATGGCAGGTATTCAAAGCCAACTCTAATCATGGAAACATAGTCCGAAATAATTTCATTCCTCCTATAGTAGCCCGGTATGTGAGAATTATTCCACAGAGCTGGCACAAAAGAATTGCTCTGAAGGTGGAACTTATTGGTTGTCATATAACACAAGGTAAGCAACTCTTCCCATTGAAAAAAAAAATTGACAGGCAATAGGATCTGAATGCCCCACACTTGTGTTAACAATCAATCTCATCTTCTGCCCCACAGTGAACAGCTCCCTTCTGGATCCACTCTGGCAAAGACCCAGTCAAAGCACAGGTGTTTCCATTAGAAAAGAAGATAAAAGAATCACAGAAGCCATACCTTCAGAAGAAAGCAACCTAAGTAAGAAATGGAGTGGGAAAGTCACTGTTACTTTGGATGTGATACTCTTTCAGAAATAGTCGTGCTTACCAGTTTTTATGCCACCTCTTTAGATACTTTTGCAGGACAGAATACAGCTAGAAGGCTAATGGACAGGGAAAATGTGATGGGGCCAATCCAAGATCTTCCTTCCACAGGAGAAGGGGCGCCACTCATGGAAGGTCTGTCTGCCCCCACCTCCCTGCCACACCACAGCTCACCCCTTTTAGCAAGATCTCCTGGCTCCAGCTGTAACATTTCGGGGCTGCAGTGGGAAGGAGGGGGTGGGGAAGCCCATTTCCATCAGTGCAGCTGATCTAGCATAAGTCCAACCCTAACCAATTCAAATATCTGTAAGCAACCCTTATTTGAAATGTCTGGAAATAAAATTGAGACCATATGTTCTCTTTGGGTAACATTTTAAGTCTGCATGTTTCAGGAACAGACAATTTGTGGCCCTTGCAGCTCCAGCAGGGTCTGCCCAAGCCTATCCTGCTCGGGTGAGGAGAAGGCTGCCCTCTCCCTGCCCAAGCAAGAAGAGTACTGAGAATCCCAGGGGAAATTGTGTAGTGCGTTGTGATTTAATACTTCTTTTCCCAGACAATACTGATAAAAATGTTTAGGAGAAAAGCTTAATGTCCTGTCACAGTGGGGAAGATCTTCATCTCAATCAGAGTGGGGGAGGAGCATTAACCCTGTATGGGGTGGGCAGGTGTGTGTGTCTGTGTCCTTGATCATTTGCCCTGAGAGAATGCAGCCCGGACGCTGTTTGAATTGTGGCTTTCTACTTCACTAGTCCCAAATTCCAGCATGTTTAGTGGGCATCATTGATATTCTAAGGCTTGATTTTAGAATTTCAGATGCATCCCATTTATGTTTAGGCTGCAGTTCTAAAGCTTCTTAGTAGGAAGTGACCCCCATTGAAAACAGAGGAACCTACTTTGGAGTAAATGTACATAGGATTGCACTGTAAAAGAAGGATAAAGGGAATGGGACAGAATACTTGCCTTTTCATAGAAACAAGACTAGCTGTCCACTGTAAATATGTTGAGAAGAAAATGCAGGCTTTTAAAAATTTAACAAATCTAAATTTTAAATACTCAACAAATGTTATATAAAGGCAAAAATGGGCACAAGTCCTGCTTTGAAAATTAAGGTAACTATTCTTTTGAACTACGTGCAGTCCTCTGTCATATCACACAAGGGGTGGATAACTTGTGGTTTTCCAGTTGTTTTGGCATTCATCTCCTGTGATCTCACACCTCTGGTTGGGCTGAAGTGAATTGTAAGCCTAAACATCTGGAGGGCTCCCATTTGCCCACCCCACTATGGATAATTTTATCTAGCAATAAGCCCTGTGAAGTCAACTAGACTTCTCAGTAGGCCTGCATAGGGTTACACTGTAAGTTGGTTTCTTTTTGAATGGTATAAATCTCATTTATTTCTAAATAGTAATTTTTTAAACATTCTTTTTGGACTCTGTGAAGTACAGGCTCCTCCTTGTATTCCAATACAGTGTGATTCTTCATGTTTAATCCCGTTCTCATGTCAGTTACTCAGTTTGGTTTGCAGTGTATTTTAGCTTTTGTTTTTCATTTCTTTAAGGATTGAAACTTACCGCCATTATTGTTCCGGTCATGGGGGTGTTTTTGCTGTTCGTGATAACTGGAATTTATATCTTCTTGCGGAAGTATGTGACTCACTTTTTTCTGTTCAGATTTGAAAAGTATTTGCCCTGTTTTTCTTCAAGAATGATGGGTGTACGTACCAACTGAAAAAGCCATTCCATGATGAACAGGGTGAATTCCCTTCAGTGATTTTATAGCAGAATGGGGAAAGTGCTAGGACCAAATAAAACAATATCTTATTTGGGTCATGCTTAGATGACATTACAGCATTTCTAAGTATGTTGCTCTGGCTTCCCCAGTTCCAGTAAAGGTGGTGGTTCTCTCTGGTGAGCTTCCTCTTCCACCAGACTGAATTGTGAAGAGTGGGAATGGGGAAAGCAGAGAGGTGTGGCTGTTGAGAAGCACTCTCCCAGCGTTGCCCAGGCAGACGTCCCAGAATGGCAAAGTCCGAGCAGGGTCGTGAGCAGATCTGCATGGCCCATTCATTCCTTGCCTGATAAGCAGACCAAGGTGCTGCTAACGGATCTGAGTTACTCATTGGTGCTTTGGACAGTGGAAAGAGTAGAGTTCCCAGTTCTTATCTGTGACTCAAGTTAGAAGGCAGGAAGGAGCAAAACCATGGCATAACAAGGACTCGTTTCAAGAAATCCTACTGATTTGTTAACTGTTGTTTAATTATTGGTTCCCTCATAATGGAGCTCTATGGTTCCCCTATATTTGAGAAAAATCTGTTGAGACAGAGGGGATTGATTTGTTTTGTGCGTTCTCAGAGAAACCAAGAGGTGATGGGGAATGAGAAAAATCAGGACGGGCACATTTTGCCCTACTTTTGCTTGTAGTCAACATTGCTGTTGCGAACGGAACTTGATTCCTTATTTGCGTTTGAGAGAAGCGGAGACCTGTGATGAAGTCTTGAGAGCAGCACATGCTCTGCCTCTCTGGGAAGTTCCTCTTTCTTTTAAAAGTCCTTCCAGACAAAAGCTTGAAGTAGGTGGGGGAAAAGGCAGGAACACGTTAACCATGGATACAATGCTGGACTGTTAGGCCTCCTGGTGTTCAATGGGCCTAACTCTCGAGGATAACAACCTGTCTTTGAGAAAATGTGCTAAGATTTTCTGGCTGGTTGGCTGGCTATTGGGCAAAATGTTGTATCACTTTAGCTAAGTTCACATGAAGCAGCAAAGCGTGCTAGGCTCACTTCTCCTCCTCCCATGCAGCTAGCTAGTCAGAGTCTTAGTGCTTAATGTAGCCAAGACTCAGTCCAACTGTTCATCCCTGGCTTTGGTCCTCTTGTAATGAATAGAAGTGCTTGGCTAGGAAGATGTGTATATGAAAGTTAAGATACCCCGCCTTGCCGTCTGGAGTAGTGTTCTCCTGGAGAGGGAAGCAGAAGCACCCAACAGTTTGCACAGCACAAGGAGATCCATTGGGACAGGTGTGGAGCTGCTTTACGTGCAGTTTCTGGTCGCCACAGTCTTGCAAAGCCCAGCTTGAAGTCAGTGAGACACATCTTGCCTACAGGCAGAGAACTGCAGTGGGAACAGCCTTAAATGATTCACGACTATTTTGGAGACGGCTAACTTTTTAGAGCAACTTAAAGACAGGGTTGTATAGTAACTGGCTCAGTGGACAATTGACTGGATTCAGGAAGAATGCCACTGACCTTGTTCTTCATTACAGGAGAGGAAAGAAAGGCATTACTTACGGTTCATGGGACACTGGAAAACCAGGTGAGTGGTCAAATCTTGTATTCATTTTTCATATGATAAAAATTGAAGTTGATATTTAATACATTGCAGGTGCAGTGATAGCAGCTTCCCTTGAAGAGTTTAGCCCCAAACCTGAAGCTGCAGCGTGATTCCTTTTCATATGTAATGAGGGTGACCCTGAACATACATGGCTGCAGTTCTGTGCTTTTTAGTACCACTTTTAGTACTCCTTGATCTTTGGAACAGTTACGGCATTATCTATGGATAAGTTGGCCCACACATCTCTCAGGACCCACTATAGATTTACATTAATAACATGATTTTGTGAACCTTTTCTCAAAGATTATTTGATAAGCATATTTTTACACTCTTATTTCTCTCTGTTGTGGACCTGTTTCATGAGATGTTCAGCAGGTCCAAATTCAGCTGTGCAGGGAAAAAAAAGTACTGCACGTGAGAAGAGTTGAAAGGGATCCCAAAACAATCAGCAAAAAAGCTATAAAATAAGAATCTTCTTGGCTGCACAAGCAGGGATACATGGCTGGAATCCAGAGGTGTCTTGTCTGAGCAGACAACCTGAGCATATAAGACTAGCTTCAGCTGATTTCCACCTCCCCAGTGCAGCCACACTGTCTCGTTCCATGTTAGCAGGTCTTTCAACCCCCTTGATTATGGTGGTTACACCAGGGAGGGAGAAGTTGGAAACTGCAACTGCTAGTGTCTCTTTATTCAGCCTTATATGGTTTGTACTCATGCAAACTTCCAAAGTTTTGATCCAAAATATATTTTGTTCCATCCCTTTACGTGCTTGCTTAAATCATTTAACAAAGGGGTTGGAGTTAAGCACTTTATTTTTGTGCATGGAATATTTACATTGGGCCACTATTTGAGGTTTAGCAATATTAGGATGATAACTTCTGAGTTTCTGTTCTAGGTTTCTGGAAACAAATCAAACAGCCATTTGTCAGACATCAATCTACTGAATTCACAATCAGTTACAATAATGAAAAGGAAACACCACAAAAGCTCGATCTAGTCACAAGAGAGATAGCAGGTAACTTGAATCTCCTCTCAAAATTGCACAACACAAAATGCAGCATGCAAGCCACATGCTTTAATCTGTCCACTGATACCTAATGAAAGTTAATGTAGTCCTCTGCAATTGATATATAGGAAGTTACCTGTTTAGAACACTTGAAGCCATCCTAGGCATATCGAACGTATATGAGGGGACCTTACCTGCCCTTTGGTCGAATTTTGCAGCATTTTTCTTTGAATAATTCTTATATTTTATTTATTTGTTTATTTAAAACTTTTCTATACCGTCCTATCACAGATATCTCAGGATGGTTTACAACAACATTAATAAAATAGAATAAAAATAGAAGTAAAAGTATATTTTCACTGCACTGGTATTAGTACTGTGCCAGTGCACTATTCGTAAATTCTTGTTGACAGTGACAGAATGCTACCCTGTCTCTACAAAATCATAGCTAATGTAAAGCAGCCTTTCCCAACCTTGTGCCTTCCAGACACGTTTGGGCTGCCACACTCAGAATTCCCAGTCAATGGCCCTGATGGATGGAAATTCTGGGAGTTGTAGTCCAAATGCCTCTGAAGGTCACCAGGTTGGGGAAGGCTGATGGTATTTCTGAAAGCTGTCAGGACATTATGATAGTTATAAGAATTTTGGGCTGCTTTGATAGTGGGCTAGATGATGTAGAATCCGTGTTGATCTTACTCTTGACCTGAGAATAATGACTGTAAAATGCCTTTTGATGATCAATAGCAGTTTGTGAAACCAATCTTGATATGATACTGGTGGCCATCTGTTGTAGGCCTATCTCAAAGGTAGTCAAGTTGGTGCTTTCCAGAGGCTTTGGACTACCACTCCTGTAAACTGTAGCTGGCATGGCCAGTGACCAGGAATTATGAGAACTTGAAGTCCCAAGCAACTTGGGAGAGGGGGCAGCAGTTTGCCTGAGAAGTAGTGTGGAAACCATGGCTCCTGAAGTGATAGGAAAATTAAGTCTGCAGCCCTATAGCATCTTTTGAGGGAGAGCATCCCATTCAAAACAGCGGGATTTTTTTCTGAGTAGGCGTACATAGGATTGTACTGTTAACCCAGCTATAATTTGGCAAGAACTTTATGGACAAGGAATGCCAGGCTGCAATTGCTTGGGGTTTTTAAAAATCCTTTGAGGTTTTTGGAATTTTTGGTCTGGAAACATTGGACTTTAAACAGTCTTAACAGGTGGAAGGTGAACGAAGAAGGGAGGTGTCCTTTGTTTTCCTAAAATTACATGAATTCACACATCTTTCCTCTTGTGGGAATACATCTGTATTGCAGATGCAGAGATGATTATACACAAGGGGATAAGTACATATTCAACTCCAGATGCTCTAAACCATTATAAAAAGAAGCATTGTTTGCTTGCTTCTCTCCCCACTTCCTTATTTTCTGAAGTCGCTTGCAGAAGGTATATTTTCCTGCAAGTCCTAGTGCTTTGATGTTCTTACTTTCCTTCCAAAGCAAGTTGCCTTTGACATCAGTTTGGCAGTGCACAACATTCCCTTTCAGAGTTGAATGCTTTTGTGACACATTCCTCCTGGATATAATGGATAATAACATTGCCTGTTTTCCCTCTTAGTGGCTAAACAAAATGATATGTGTGTGTGTGTTTATTTCCTCTTTCATATGGCTCATATTGCTTGAATAATTTAGAGCCATTGCTCTGTAATTACATAAGGTAGTGCCCCAGTGTGGTCCTGTGGTACACTGATGACTTGGTTTTTCAGCAGAATGTGAGAAGTGCTTCTGCTTGTTGGCAAGATATAAAAAATAGTACAAAATAAAGACAGTGGTTGGATCCAGCATTCAGCCTCACCTGAATTTCAGAGATGTGTTTTGTTTTCATCTAGATTATGAACAGCCTCTTATGATAGGAACTGGGACAGTAACCCGAAAGGGATCCACATTCAGACCAATGGACACGGAGGATGAAAAGAAAAGCAGCTCGGAGATTGAGAACCACTACCTCTGTCCTCAGAGAGCAGATCGTCATGATTATGCCCTGCCGTTGACCAGTCAGGAGCCTGAATATGCCACTCCTATTATAGAGCGACACGCAGGAAAAGGAACTGTGTTTCCTTCAGAGAATTGCTACAGTTTTCCCACCGCTTCTTCCACTCACGCATATGCGCTTTCTTCAAGCAAGTCCACTGCTTCATGCCAGACCAGTGCAGAGAGTGGAAGCTACCAAACACCACAAAGTCAAAAAGAGTATGATAAACCAAAAATTAATACTGGGGACTATAGCACTGACTATCAAAAGCCCCAGTCCAGTACACTGATGAAGGAGGGCTATTCAACACCCAGATACTGCCTGAAACCTATAAATCAGAGTGCAGTGGTAGCTGTCTTGTAACAGAGACCAAGGAAAAACTTGCTGCTGTGATGGTCCAAGCACTGGAATGGACTTAGAGTAAAACAAATTTTGTTTTACCACAAGGAAAATCACATTTCTGCAGTAGGAAAGAGTGTGTTGTTCCTCACTTTTTTCACCATGAGAAGCCTTCGCTGTGAGGACTGCAGCCTGTTGATACTCTACAGCTGTGAGAATGGTGCTGTTTTAATATTGTGCAATGTGTACATATGTTTTTAATTTAAGGAAAATAACTTAAGGATTCCTCTACTTTTTCATTCTGAGTGTTTGTAGGAGAGGGAGGTTAATGTGATTAACTAGCCATTGCACTGATTTTTATTTCAAAGTAGTATCCTACGTTCAGGTGATGTTTATTGCACCATGTCCTTATTTAGCCCCATACTGCAACCTTAAGAGTGCATTCTGAGAAGGTCTTTGAAACTCCATGTGCAGAGCAGCTTCTCCTGCACACTAACAGAAAAAGGCATTGCACCCAAGTGGTGCAAATGTTGTGACAAGGAAAGCTGAATTGTGACTTGTCTAATTTATGTAAATTGAGCAGAAGCATTTTTTCTTTCCATAATTCATGCTGACTTTGCTAGTTATGAGGAAGGGAAAGCACTGAAAAAATTATTTATTCACTCTTCTAGGCTTTCAGAAGGTGTGCCTACTCTGACCAGTATATCTTCACAGATGTAGAGCCTTAGAAACTTGCTTATTTTAAAATTAAAGCTGAACTTTCTCAGGACCGAATTTTGCATTCACCACACTGCTGTTTTGACTTTCTGCACTCCTGCAGAGTTTCAGAATGCACAAAAACAGTCTTTACAGTACAGCTCATTTCCAAACAAATGGGTTGAGTATGTATTTGCCCCTGACCTGACTAGAAGTTAATTTTCCAGTGCAATTGTAAGTGAATTATTTATATGTATCTCTTTGGAGAATATAAAAAACACTTCAAGATACTGCAGGAATTAAATGGGATGTTTAAACCAATTTTTGCCACTGCCCATTACTAAGCAAGTTTAATTCTCTTGAATTTGATTTTCTTGTTTGCCCAAGAATGGAGTCTGTTTATTCACATAATGGCAAAGGAGAGAAGATAAAACTCAGTGATCTGGGGCTACAAATGATATTTTCAGATATACCTTTTGAAAAAATGGCACAAAGGCTACTTGCCTAAACATACATATTGAAGAATGGGATCTTCAGTAAACATGCATAGGATAGTGCTGTAAACCTCTATCCCTTTGGAAGCTGTAGCAGCAAATTATTTTGCATAGGAGGGGCCACAGTTCAATGCTGGGGCACATACCTTGTATATAGAAGCTTTCAGGATGGGTCCTTTGCATTTGCCATTTTGTTTGTTTGTTTGTTTTAAGCAAACAAAATAAACCAAACATTTGATTATGTGAAAGGCCTCTGGGTGAAATTATCAAAAATTACTGCCAGTTCTTGTAGAGCAGTTTTCTTCCAAATGTCGTGAACTTCAGCTTCCAGCAGCCCTGGCCAGTATGGCCAGTGGTCATGAATGCTCAGAGTCGTATTCCAAGACATCCAGAGAATACACACAATTCAGAAATACTAGCCTAGACATTGTTGGGTAGATTTACCATTGATTTCTATGTAATGCAATCCTTTTCTTCTTTAGTGTGGGAAACAGACTGGTCTGTTGTTGCATACCTATTCTTCAAAAAATTGCTCTCTGTTTTAACAAAATTTAAATGCGTATTTAGGACTATTTAAGCATGTGTGCGCACATGCACACACATGAGCACCTATAGTTGAAGAAAGAAAGATGCTGCAAATACAACAGACTAACCTTGTGAATAGTAGGGAACTGGTATTCTCTACTCTTAGGGCATGTTTGCAGGCTGGCAGAGTATATAAATACAAGCACACACAAGCATATACACTGATACTAACAGCTCAGTTCAGAAACCATCTCAGAAACCCTGGAGGCATAGTACCTTGCTGAATTTTCCTTTTTTGTGGGTGAATTAGCAAGTTAGACTTCTGTTTGTTGCTACACTGCCGACAGCCAAAGTTCTCTGGGTGGTTTACAACCCATGAACAACAATGAAATATGAAATGAAGTAACAGGTAACAAAAACATTAAAATGCACTACAAAATTTAAAAGCTGACTAATCACTAGCTGTACCATCATTGCTGCAATTCTTGACAGCAGGGGAATTCCACATCATCTTACCAGTACCAAGGGCCAATTCCAAAGTGAGCAGCTACAGTGGTCACACAGCTGCTCTTTCAGTTGTGATTGTTAACTCTTGTTGATTTAAGCAACATTTCCCTACTGACAAAGCATATTTGAAAACTGGGAAGAGTGAAACAAATAACTGCACTCATACCTGCAACTATGTACCAAGTTGTGGCTGTTGCATGTATTTACATACACAGATCACTTGGAAGACCTGGTGATCACTTGGAAGTTTGTTAACAAACTTCTCTGACCAAGGTACAGAGCTATCAGAGCACAATAGGACTTAATCAAAAGCAAGGAATGTAACACGTCGGACACTTGGAGACAGTGCACACACCAGCAGTCATGGTGGAATCAAAAGCAAAGCACAGCATGTGTGGTCTCCTTCCTGATTATAATTTGGCAGCTTACTAGTTCTGATCTGTCCTGCTGTAAAACACGGGGAACTAATTAGATGAAAGACCTAATTTCACTTTGGTTTAAATATGTTTAGCTGTGCGAATAATTCTGGACTTTGCTCTGGATGAAAGGAAGCTTTTCTCTCCCCCCCACCCCAAAGAAGATTAGTGTGTGGTGTTGTGACAAAAAGTGCTGCTCAACTGGTAGCATTGGGAAGTAGACTCCAGGCTTTTGCAGTGCCATGGTTAGTACCTCTACCTGTTTCATTCTTTACCTCAGGCTTAGCAAAAAGGGGGGAAACAGAACTTCAACAGAGGGCAGAGGTGGAGCTGCAAGCACTAAACATGCATCTCTTTCTAACCAAACTTGGTAACACCAATAATAATTGTAATTATACATAGTTAAGCTCATGTATGTCCACAACTCATTTCTCTTTTCATAGCATTGCCTTCTGAAATAGGTCTAGTCTAAATCTATTAGTGTATCATATTAATGGGTCTCTTTCCTCATCTCCTGCCTTCATTTGCATTTTAAGGGATTTTTGACATTGTTCATGAATGTTCAGATATGTCAAATGTACTGTTCACAACATCGGGTGGCAGGGAACAGTGACTACATTGCAAAGGAGGTTGGATCAGGGTGTAGTGAGGCAAGCATTCGTAAAAGTTTCTGATGTGCAGTGTTAAATTGTTTGTGACATCCAAAACAGTGAAGCCTAAAGCAGATAGAAAGAAGATAAGGATTTGTTCTTAGCACAATGAGTTGTAAGAATGATCCATCTGGCTCATCCCATCTCAAGTGGCTCTTCCCTCCCAGTTCTGCTATCTCTTGTTACCTGCTTAAAGGCCACTCAATGCATATTTTCCCCACAAGACTGAACACCACATAATAGCTGATTGCTTGCATGATCTTCAGTGTTCTGATATAACCATCCTGCAGTATGTTTTGTCTTTCCTGGGATTACTGCCAGGGAATCATGTGGGAGCAACCCTCTAATAGGGAATATCGAGGGCCAAACCTGGAGCTATAGGCATGCAGACTACATGCTCTGCCATCCTCTTATGGCCCCAATTTCCTGTATCAGTGTTGCCTCAAAATCACCATGTTTTCATGGACCTAGACTTACAAAGCAAGAGAAGGTTCCTTCAGAGCATTCTTGAGGGCATAAGTGTGGCCTGGAGACAAGACCATAGGCAAAACTCCATCACTGAGGTATGACAGTTAGAAACCATGACAGCCCATACTCCTGTACAATCAAATAAATTTAACATTCTCAAAGCCCCAAAATGACTACGATTTTTAAAAGGTGAACATTCTGTAAACCCACTACATAAAACAAGCAAGTCGGGCACTAAGCCCAGAAAGGAAAGTCTTTACATTAAGGCAGCCACCATATGAAAATAGACCACTGGTCTGTGTGTGTGCACAAGCTGCACATATGTTCAAGCCTGAATGATCTGCTCACACAGATAGGATTCTGTTATGAGCAGACATAATGGAAGGAGATTAGCACCAGCATGTCAAGTCCAGGACTTGACAAAGCAATTCCATGGTTATAGTGAAAGACGCTGATGGTGAGAGCCAATGAATTTCAGCTCTAGTCTGTACCCTCTGTGTTCTGGCACTCCAGTAAGGGGGCAAGAATATTGCACCTGCTCAAATTCCTCCATCCCTTCTTAGTTTATTATGTGAGTTGCCTTCACATACTTTCAAAGGCAGGTTGCCTGCACCAAAAAAGGGCAAGATTGTAGGGAAGACACAGTTTTCCTCTCTGAGTTGATGTCCTCAAAGCCACTTCACTGCAACAAAAGATTATTTCTTTGGAACATTCTGTCCCTTCACTTCCAAATTCTCCCAGTGCCTAGGAGGGTCAATAGACACATCTCCACTGCAGCTTTAGGAATTAGGGATGTGAAAGAGAATATATCTGTGGATTCCCTTTGGAAAAGGAGGATAAATTAGTAGACATATTGTCCTAAAACCATTCCAAGCTTTCATCTGTGTTGGAAGGCCCACTCCACCAAGGAAGCCTAGAAATCTGCTCTCTTCCTCAAACGGCTGTTCAGATTATAGTTTTGACAGATACACAAAAGGATACACAAGGGACTGCACAGTGGCTCACAAACACATGCCCATTTAGACTCAAGGTTTACCTCATCTTTTGAGATTGAATTAATCCGGCTATAGTCCTGCTCAATCCCTTGAAGATGAGCCCAGAGTATCACCAGAAAGAACCTCACTAGCCTTAAAAATGTTTTGGTCTTTGGCATATGCTTTTACTGTTCATATAATAATTCATAGAATTGTCAAATGGTAGCGTTGGAAGAGGCCAAGAAAGCCATTGAGTCGAACTTCCGCTGTTGCTGGTCACCAATTTACACCACCCCATTCAGCTGTATCTTCAGTATTTGGAAAGGGCACCTACCCACTCCACAGCCCTCCATGGCTTAAATAAACCATAATGCAGTTCCCACCAAGAGTGTCACCCCATTTTCCAAGATATGATCTGTGGTCTCCTGCAAAGCCATAAGAAACTTCCCATTTTTATATATTGCTACCCAATCAGTGGTTTGGTCCTGGCAGAGAAACAAAGCTGCTTCCGCCCTGCCCTCTGTTGCTGGCACTAGACTCCCAGAGACTTCCCTGAAACACCTCCCCACACAGCCTTTCCCCTGCTGCCCTGTTGCCAGGCCTTTTGTAAGCTGTGCCTATAGCTTTACGCCTATAGCTTGGGGTTGGCTAAGCAGTTTTCAGGCCACCGAGTGTGAACATATATTACACCCACACCTTTGCTGCAGGAAACGCCCAGAAAAACGTGTTTCCTGTAGCAATCAGCAAGTAGAGCCGTGCATGAGGTGGCATGACATGTGCTTCAGACTTTCTGGATCAGCAGAGGCTTCCACTAACCTCCCCCAAACAAGCCTTCCGGTGTGATGGGGGAGACCATTTTCTCCAGTTCCTTCCACATTTTGCTGGATGGCCTGTGCAAGGTACGCAGGAGTGCACTGCCTTGGTTCTGCAGCTGAGAATGGGTAATACAACTACTGATCCCATGCAGCGATCGCAAGTAGGGGGCTTAGAGGTGGCACAGGTGCTTTCTTCATGGGTCCCTGGAGGGAGGCCTAGGAGAAAGTGCCCACCCTTATGACCCCTGCCCATGCTCAGTCCCAGGACAGTTGAACCCTGAGCAGCAGGGAGGGCCACCTCAAACTGGCCTTCCAGCCCAGCAGAAGGTGGCTCATGCACCCAGGACACCCGCACTCCTTCTGCCACATCCCATGCTACTGCTGCTTTCCTAGTGGGAAAGTGGATGCTGCTGCCAAAAGTGCATTAAAAAGGTAAAATAGTATTAAGGTCATGGCTTGTTAGCAAGGAAAAGCATCCCAGAATAAGACTGGCTTTAGCAGACAGCCAAAGCAGCTGTGTTGGTGCCTGCCTATCCTCCTGAGGCAGGGAATTCTATAGAAATGGGGTCACCACACTACAGGTTCTTCTCCTGGTGGACTCCCGCCAGGCCAGGGGTTCATGTGGAAGCACCGGGAGAATGTCTTTCAGTGACATCAGTAACCCAGCATCTTGGTACAGGGGAAGGAACTCTCTCCGGTATCCTGGGCCCAAGTCATTCAGGGCTTTGTACAGTAGCACAGAAGCTTTAAACCGATCTGGTAGTGAATCTGTAGCCAGTGCAGTTCCTTCAGTCAAGGAGGAGCAGAATGGGAAGAGGCAGCTTTGGACCATAGCCGACCTGCTTCATCTGCACTAACGCTGAGCTTCCAGAGCAG